CCCCCCCCCTCTCTTCCCGGCGCCTCCTTAAGGGGCGCCCCCGAGGCGGGAGGGGCAGGGGGCGTGGCGCATGCAAAGGAGCCGAGCCCGTGACGTGCGGAAGCCCCTCCCCCTGGGCGAGCAAAAAAGTTAGCGAGCCGAGCGGCTCCGGACAAGCCGCCGCGAGCCAGGCGAGTCGAACATGGCGCTGCGCCGGGCCGGGACCCTGCACGGCTCCGGGGAGGAGGCCGGCGACGAAGCCCCGGGACCGGTCCGGGCCAGGTCGGGGCTGCCGCTGCTCCTGCTGCTCCTCCTGCTCAGCCCCGGCCGGGCTGGCGCCGCCCACGACCGTCGCGGCCCCGTGGTGCTGGGCATGCGGCTGGAGCACAGCGACCGGCCGCTGTCCGAGCAGGAGTTGGAGGAGGAGGAGGCGGGCGTGCTGCAGGTGCAGGAGGGCGCCCAGATCCTGCTGCGCCTCTACGGGCTGGGCTTGAGCGCCCGCGCCTACCAGGCGGTCTACTTCGCCGAGGTGGGCCTGCCCGGCGGCAACAACGGCAGCCGGCCCCGCGGCCCCAACGCCACCTGCCCGGAGAAGACGCAGGACTTGGTGGTGCATCCCCAGGCCGGCGAGATCCGCGCCACCTCGGCCGTGATCGGCGTGAAGGTGCAGCTGCTGCGCAAGGCCCAGCGCTCCAAGCTCTACGTCCTGTGCACCCGGAGCGATCCCGGCCAGCCCTGGCTGCGCCTGGAGGGCAAGGATGCCTTCCTGCGGGTGGTGGAGGAGAAGCAGCACCTGCTGCCCTTCTGGCTGCAGATCATCCTCATCCTGACCCTGCTGGCCTTCTCCGGCATGTTCAGTGGGCTCAACCTGGGTCTGATGGCCCTGGACCCCATGGAGCTGCGCATCGTCCAGAACTGTGGCAGCGAGAAGGAGAAGCGCTACGCCGGCAAAATCGAGCCCATCCGCCGCAAGGGCAATTATCTGCTCTGCTCGCTCCTGCTGGGCAACGTCTTGGTCAACACCACCCTCACTATCCTGCTGGATGACCTCATTGGCTCCGGGCTGGTGGCGGTCATCGCGTCCACCTCGGGCATTGTCATCTTTGGGGAGATCGTGCCCCAGGCGCTCTGCTCCCGCCACGGCCTGGCCGTGGGGGCCAACACCATCGTTCTGACCAAGATCTTCATGCTCTTGACCTTTCCCATCTCCTTCCCCATCAGCAAGATCCTAGACTTCCTGCTGGGCCAAGAAATTGGCACGGTCTACAACCGGGAGAAGCTGGTGGAGATGCTGAAGATCACCGAACCTTACAACGATCTGGTGAGGGAGGAGCTGAACATGATCCAGGGAGCGCTGGAGCTTCGGACCAAGACGGTGGAGGATGTCATGACCCCTCTTCACGACTGCTTCATGATCCACAGCGATGCCATCTTAGATTTCAACACCATGTCCGAAATCATGGAAAGCGGCTACACCCGTATACCGGTCTTTGAGGAAGAACGGTCCAACATTGTGGATATCCTGTACATCAAGGACTTGGCCTTTGTGGACCCTGATGACTGCACCACCCTCAAGACCATCACAAAGTTCTACAGCCATCCTGTCCATTTTGTCTTCCATGACACCAAGCTGGACGCCATGCTGGAGGAATTCAAAAAGGGTAAGTCGAGGTGGAGGGATGTATCAGTCTGGGCAAGGTGCCCATCCTTGGTGATTTTTGCTCTCGAGGGCGTGTTTTGCAAAGATGCAGGTTTCTTTTGCATCTCTCCAGAATGAGCGGGAGCGTGCTTTTAAATCCTGGTGGCTAGGATGCAGGTTACCTCCTTCCAGTCAAGGCTTCTAATGGAGAATGTTATGGCGAAATCCAGCAAAAGGGTCCATAGGTTCTGGAGGTCCCTAAGATACCTAGAATTCATTTGTCTCGGGGACTCTGTTCACACATTGCACTAAGCTTATCACAGCCTTTTGGGCACGTTTGACTATGGTTTTACGGAAAAGCAGCCTCTGTGGCAGATAGTTACAAACCCAGATTGACAGGAGTATAGAGCCCAGCCAACTCTGGCTTATTCAATGTGTCCTCCTTAAGCAAATAATAGCTGGAGGCGATGTGCAAACCCAATCCTCCACACATTACATATTAACAGCAGAAGCTTTTTTTTCTGGGGGGAAAAAAAGGGCCTGTAAAGGATGGCTGGGCTTCTTTCCTTGAGCAAATTTTGCAGCCTTCTCCTACAGATGTTTGTTCAGATGCAACTTCTGCTGACTTGGCAGAACAAGCAAGAGAAAAGCGGAATTGTTGGCTGGCAGTACTTGGATGTCAACATTCGTTAAGGGACTCTCCCAGCTGCTGTTCAGCAATCTAGAAGCAGGCAGATGTGTGCAATCCCTCAACGAAAAAGCGAATCCCGTTTTCCCTTTTCCAAGCAACTTTTGAAACTAGTTAATCCAGAGGTTTTCTCTTGCACGATGTGTATCTCCCACTTGCTGGAAAAGAAGGGAGCTGGTCCAGTAGAATGAAAAACGAGAAAGAAAATCCTTCCGGAATGAGATCCTTCCGGTGTAGGGCCAGATTTAATGGGTGAAGGGCCGTGAAGCTGCATCCTACTTTTGTCCAGCTGTAGATTAGAACAGTGGCAGTGCTGGAATACAGCTTGCCCTGGGTGGTTTTGCCCCAGGACAGGGTGTGAGTTTATAAACCATGTTGACTCTTTTGTTACACTTCCTTTGTTTCTAACAATGTTTCCAACTCTTCCCATAGATAGAAGGATCAGAAAACCTATGTTGCAATTCTGAAATAATGCTATTAAACCTCAGAGCCTTAAAGCTACAGTGCTACTTTTATCAGCCCAGCATTTCAAAGAATTCATAGATCTCCCACCTGGAGCAAAGAAATTCTTCTGCATAGCCCTCCTTGCTGTTATTTGTTTTCAGGAAGTTGGGACGGGAGGACTTCCCAACATCGATGTTACATCTTGATTTTAACTGAACAATATTTATTTGATTCGAAGAAACGTTGAAATAGAAAATTCCAAGGAATTTGGAAAACAACAACAAAACAAAAGACACAAAAGTATACAAGTTTTAAAAAGTGCACAAAAAAAGGAAAAAAACCCGCACTGTATATGCAGGTAGCTTTTGACATATGACCACAATCGACCCCAAAATTTATGTTGCTAAACAAGACGTTTGTTAAGTGAGTTTTGCCCCATTCTACGACCTTTCTTGCCACAGTTGTTAAGGGAATCACTGCAGTTGTCGAGTTCGTAACACGGTTGTTAAGTGAATCTGGCTTCCCCATTTGACTTTGCTTGTCAGAAGGCTGCAAAAGGGGATCAGGTGACCCCCGGGACGCTGTGACGGTGGTAAATATGAGTTGGTTGCCAAGTGCTTGGATTTTGATCACGGGGATGCTGCAAATGGCCATAAGTGTGAAAAACGGTCATAAGTCACTTTTTTCCAGTACTGTCGTAACTTTGAACAGTCACTAAACAAATCACTGTAAATCGAGGATTACCTGTACATATATTATCCCCCCCCGGGTTCAATACTGATTAAAATTCCTACAATATTAGTTCCCCCCCCCCTTGCGAAACAGCCCCACTCCATTTTTTAAAAAAAGTAGTAAATCCATTTGCAAACTCTTGACCTGTCATTTATATGCTGCTGCATCAGTGACAAAATAGTTAACAGGAAGCACAATCCTGTCTCTTGACTTTGTAGTCATTCAAGCCCGTTTGGTCTAGTGGTGAAGGCACCAAGCTGGAAAGCCGGAGAGGGGGAATTATTGCCTTGCGAAAGCCGGCTGGGTGACTTTGGGTCAACAGTCACTCCGGGCTCCCAATGTCAAGCCAGTCGGTCAATTTCTGTCGCAACCAATGGATCGACGCTTGTTTGATCTGGAAACAAAATGCAGCCTGCATTTGCGGGAAAACTTTTTTTTTTTTTTTGCAATCGTTCCCAATTACAGTGTGAAATAAGAATGCATCGTGCATATATGTAGTCCTCAACGTACGACCATCGTTGAGGTCAAAATTTCCGTTGTTAAGTGAGACATTTGTTAAGTGAGTTTTACTACCTTGCTTGCTTCCGTTGTTAAGAGAATCACTGCAGTTGATAAGTTGGCAACGTGGTGAAGTGAATCTGGCTTTCCCATTGACATTGCTTGTCAAAAAATTGCAAAGGGTGATCACAATGAGCTAATTATGAGATTATAAATCTTGGCACAACATGAGAAGCAAAAGGGAAACTAGATCATGTATAGGTGGTTCCCCTGGGCAGAAATGCCTCCCTTGTGTTGGTGGAGCATCTGACTCAAAGGTAAATGGGGTCTGATTTAGCACATTTGGGTGCAGCCAAATGCTCTGAGCATTACAACATGCTTAGCGTGGTCCGTTGGAACCAGGGTTTGAGGCCTTTGGAGAACGCCCGTATTGAATCAATCTCCGTCGTGGAGTAGGCACCAACAGGCTAAGCATGAGCAATTTTGAACATGACAATGACCCATTGGAATCAGATCCTGGGAGAACACCCATATTTCATAAATTTTCCCCAACGCGTTAACGTCAGCAGCCTGACAACGGGCACTATTTAGCATGACAATGACTTTTTCGAATCAGAACTTACAACATTCAGAGGAGCACTCCTATCTTGATTAAATTTCCCCAGTTGAGTAGATACCAATGGCCTGACCATGAGCAGTTCAAAGTCTTTCCTCTCGGGTCTTGAACTTAACTCTTCCGTTTATTCTACTTTAAACTTAATCGTATTAAACAAGTCAGATTTAATTCTGAATATTTATTTATTTGTGGGGTCTTTGGTGGTCTTTGAGCTTGGTAGGGTGTTTTTATTTTTTCTGGTGTTTCTTTACCCAACTAAGGCACCATCATCAGTGTGCCTGGTTGGGTAATGAAACATCTGCAAGAAAACCACCAAGTTCACATAGCACCAAGGAGCCCACAATTGAACTTTATTCATGTATTTATTTGGGCATTTCTTTTCTTTCTTTTTCTTTTTTCCTTTGAACCAAGCTTCATGCATGAAATTTAAATAGCAGACTGGCTACCCTCTCAGCATTGTTCACCTAGATTTGGAGATTTGCTTTTTCCCAATCTACATTTATGATTGAATATTATTTCGGTAAAGATCTTGTAATAATGGGTTCCACTAGCTGTATAGAAGGGTTTTTTTTTTAATCTAGTCCAGGGGTAGGCAACCTTGGCTCTTTTATGACTTGTGGACTTCAACTCCCAGAATTCCTGAGCCAGCATGGCTCAGCTTGGAAACCTCTCCCTTTCCCCTCAGCATGGCTGGCTCAGGAATTCTGGGAGTTGAAGTCCGCGAGTCATAAAAGAGCCAAGGTTGCCTACCCCTGATCTAGTCTAAATCTCATTCCTATCAGCCCCCAATTCTAGGAGTTGCAGAAGCAAAAATCTCGGTCAACTTTCCCCACGCCATGCATAATTTTAAAGTCCTTGATCATATCCTCCCAAGTTGCTTTTTTAAAATATAAGATTCCCAAAGATTCTAGATTTTTTTTTAGAGATGTTTATGCTCTTCTGATGATTCTGGATGCCCTAGTCTGCACTTTTCCCAGCATTGTTCCATTCTTTTTTCCCCAAAGTAGCAACCGTAACTGTACATTGTATTTCTGGCTTCAGAATGCATTACAGCATGAGCACTTTTATTTTTAACTTATACTAATGATCCCTTGCATTGATTTTTTTCATAGCTGCTACCCTCTAATATCATCATTTCATTCTAGGGCTTTGCACATAACTCAGCCACACTGAAGAAGATGTGAAGCTAAAGGGTTTTCCCCCAGCATGTAACTTATAAATTAAGCTGCAATCAGGGTGTAAGCCATCAGCACCAATAATGTGGAAGATAACATAAGTTTGGGTGCTGTTTTGGGGATACACGATAGAAAAGTGAAGGATAGGTTTGGGGAATAAGATTCTTCTTTAGAAAGAAAATTGGTAGGCAGAATTTTTGAGTGGTTTTTTTTTTTAAAGAATTCTTCAAATTGATTGATGGTTTGTAGAGCCAACAGTGGTCAGATAAAATTGCTCAAAGATGAGAAGACTATTAAGACGAGACTAAACAAATGGTTGTACGTTAAGGACTACCTGTACAATAACATACAATAATATTGTCTTCTAATCTGGTGCCTCCAGATATTTTGGACAAGCAGTGTTGGAGTTATAAGAGCTGAAATTGATAACATCTCTTACATAAGGATATATATTCTGGTTCCCAAATCTCTGCCACGGTACTCCAAAGTACTGCTGCAAACATAAGGGTGGTATGGGATTTTTTTTTTAATATTCAGGGGTTATTTGATGTTTGTTGAACACTGCAAATGACCAGCTCAGTATCTCTGCCTTTTCCTCCAAAATTTAATAGCCTGCATTATTACTGTGAGTTTACCGCTTCTGTTAAGCCCACAGTCTCAAACTGGAGTGTGTCACGCTCACTTCGGGAACTGCAGATCACTGTGAATGAAATATTTACTGAGACATCAGGGCACTTTGAGCAGGAACCTTTGGCTATAATGCTCTGAAACATCTGGCCTCAACTGACTGAGCTTGCAAGGCGATCCAGGGAAGTAAATAATTTGTAAGGTAACTTTCTGAGAGAGAAAGAAATTTGGGTTTTTGGTTT